CATTATCTTAGTGTCCTCGGGTATTTGGGATAATTCTGCTTTTTGCAAGTATTGTTTAATTTTTTCTTCTTCAATATTCTCTTGATCATATAATTTCTCATAGTACTTCTGTACTATTTCTTTATTTTTTTCTTTATTTCCATTACAAACCATGCCATGCTCATCTATTAATTGTATTATTTTTTTCATTTCTCTCTCCTTTTTCAATTTATATGCCAGCCATCTGCCTGGTTTGTTTGCATTTTTGAAGAAATTCTGTTTAGTTCTCCTGATTTTTGGTGCTAATTCCTCTTTTCCCATCAACTCCATTTTATGTTTAACTATTTCCATTTGACTTTTAATACCCTTCTTGTGTGGATACTTTTGTAGTTCTTTCTTGAGTTTCTTGTAGTCATCCTCTAGTATTTGTTGTGTTTGTCTTTTTTTAATATTCCTTCTTCTCGAATAATTTATCATCAAACCTCTGATGTAGGCCTTCATGGTATCCCATAGATTTTGTAATGAAGTTTCCTCCTTATAGTTTTCTTTAAAGAAAAAGCCAATTCTTTTTCTGTATTTTGTATAACTTATTTTTCTTCAATATTGAGTTATTCAAAGTCCATCTTGATCTTTTCTTTTGTCCCTGCCACTTGACCCATATTGGGTTATAGTCCACCAAAGTACTTGTTTCTATATTTTTAGTTCTTGTATATTAGAGATTAATTCCATTGACATCCAAATCATATCTATTCTTGACCATGATAAATTTTTGTTGGAGTAGAATGTATATTGTCTGTTCTTAGCATTCATTTCTCTCTAAATATCTTGGGTGCTTAATTCCTCTATCATCTTGAAGAAGGATTTCAGAAGTGTCTTTCTATTTTGTTTATTAACTTTCTGTATTTTATAATCCAATTTTGTGTCCGCTATCGCACTGAAATCTCCCAAGTTGCATATATTATCATATTCCAATTCTATTATTTTCTTATGCAATTTTTTATAAAATTCATCTTGCTTCCAAAAAGGCAGTCAAGACCTAGCTCAGTAATTTTAAAAAATATTATATATCCTATAGGAAATAAATGGAAGAAACAGAGACAGCTGCTCATATGGTTCTTCTGAACAGCTTATATTATATATGAATGGAAATTCTTTTAAAATACAGATATTTTATAATATAAACAAGTACAGATGGCAGAAAATAATGCAACTCAACCCACAAGAAAAGTAAAATATTTTCTAGAGAAAGAAGGTAAAATGTTAGCAACATGGACAGAGCAATAATTAACAGAAAAAAATCCTGCACACTACTAGGTTGATATTAATGGTTGATGAAAAAAGGCCATTATTATTTCAAAAACAGAACTGTAGTGAATACTCCCTTCTGAACTATTATAAAGTTATAGTTGGCATGAAATTAAACAGATCCTTTGACTCATACTTAAAAAGCATTTTTATAAATGTCTGTTTCCTCAGACATAGTTTAACAGCTTGTTTTAGTGATATCATGATGCAACTTAATTTGAAACAAAATGGATTTTCAATCAAGATATTTGCTGCCAAAGTTGCTGTTACTAAAATTTAAATATAAAAATTGGTATACCAAGAAAGACTGCCACAAGTTTCAAGAAACCATAAAACTTTATGCATTCACAGACAGAAATCAACTCACAGAATTAAAAACAAGATGTCAATGCCTTACATCAACTAATAAAAATGCCAATAGGATGACAAGTCTGCCTTTAGTACGCTTCAATATAATTTTGGGGTACATACTTATTGTCAAAATTTATTCAGTCTCCCTTTTTTTCATCACTATCACAGATTAGATCTGGAAACAACATACAGGTTGTTATGCCACTTGCATAAAACATTCTCATGCTTAACAAATTTTGAATAATTTAACAGTCTCATTTAACTTAACTCTTTAAATCTTCACATTGATTATCCAGCTTTCAAATTATATAAATTTGCGGAGAACATTGTGCCCCTTTTCAATTTAACATTCTGAAAAAACGTATTCATTACACTTTGACAAGCCTATCAATTCAAATTCTGCAACCACGTCATCATAACTGAATAAATTAAAAAGGAATTGTAAGCATCTAACGCCCCAAATCCAGAGTGAAAAAAAATATGTCTTCTGCTGCTTTAGGCTTCTGGATTAAGATGCCATTTAAATCATGTTCATCTCCTGTAACAGCATTACAGGAGAACTAGAATCGTTGAGTGAGAAGGGAGCGTTTAGGCCAGGGGATGGGGAACCATGGCCCTTTTATGACTTGTGGACTTCAATTCCTAGAATTTCTGAGCCAGCATGGTGATAAACTCCACAAGTCATAAAAGGGCCATAGTTCCCCACCTCTGGTTTAGGCTATTCTAAATGTCCAGCAACATTTCAATACAGTACATTCAGTGAAGGAAAGACTATTCATTAAGATCATGTTCCTAACATTAAGTCATTTTTCCTAATACATATCCTTCTTCTGTCCTCCAAAGTGATAGATAACAAGTCTTATATGCAGATATAACAAAGCATATTGAATACAGCAATAAAATCATTTTTCATGTTGATTTTTGTATTTTTCTTATCCTTCTTATTTGATTATTATTATCATCAGCTTCTCTGAAATGATTGGTGACAAGAATCTACCTATTTATCTACTCAAATTTCCATGCTTTCAAATTGTTAAGTTGGCAGGAGCTGGGGCAAGGATGATCGCATGGCACTGAGGTCTTAAAGCTGGGCTGCCAACTTTCCAGCCAACAAACCCAGTATCTTAACCGCTGAGCCATCATGCTGCCCTCTATGTTGCCTTGACTTGCTTGAATTTTGCAGCTTATAAATAGAATACATTTTATTCTTTAATAAGTTTTAAAAGTTTTTATCTTTGCAAATGGATCCAAATGGAGAAGACAGAAATGAAAAACTGACAGGAATCAGAAACATCTTTTTTTTAAAAAAAAGTATCCCCCCCCCTTTCTTCCTTTATTTTAAAACAGTTTTTCTTCTATAGGCAAGTTTTGGGCATTACATACGTTCTTCATGAGTTACTGTAGGGCTCAGGGATGGATAAACTTTGGATGAGCAAAGGTTGCACTTAGGCTATGAACTAAGTAAAGCTGTTTTACATATATAGGTGGGGTTGCGGTTTCAGCAGTAACTTGGTTGAAATTTATTATTCTAATTGCAGTATGCCTATTGTTAGGACTTGAAATACAGCATAGTATTTCTATTTCTTATTTCAAATTAGATTGTTAATTGATGACCAGATGGGATCTAAGAATGATAAAAAGGGCCAATTTTAAAGACTCATATTGCCCACTGTTGGAAAATCATTTTTAAAATATATTATTATGACTGGAAGAATCACAATAGGAAGATAATTTTGTGAATGGTAGTACACAAAATTATTTTCACATTGTGAATGGTACTTGTTGATTAACTGGGTAACACAATCTCATTATAATCTTACTCGTTGTAGAATACCTTATGCCACCAGACTTGAAATTCTAGAACTAGAAAACCTTGAATTACGCCGTCTTCGGTCTGATTTAAGCATGGTATATAAAATCATACATTGCAATGTCCTACCTGTCAATGAATACTTCAGCTTCAACCATAACAACACAAGAGCACACAATAGATACAAACTCAAAGTTAACCGCACCAAACTTGATTGCAGGAAATACGACTTCAGCAATAGAGTGGTCAATGTCTGGAATACTCTACCCGACTCTGTAGTTTCTTCCCCAAACCCCAAAAACTTTAACCTTAGACTGTCTACTATTGACCTCACCCCTTTCCTAAGAGGTCTGTAGGGGGCGTGCATAAGCGCACCAACGTGCCTACCGTCCCTGTCCTATTGTTTCTCTTATTCTTCTTTTATTTTTCTTATATGTACCCATTTCATGTATTCACAACTATGTATACACTTATACTTATTATCTTGTAAACAATTGGCAAATCAAATAAATAAATAAAATAAATAAATAAACAATCTATATTAGATGGATAATGATCCATCTAATGTTTATTTTGAATTCATGAAATTCCTAAATGTGGTTCAAAGTTACTTAACCCTACAACAACAAAAGCCATTCATTTCTAAAACATACTTTATTAACAAAATATCTGAAATTTCTTGTTTCAGCATTTTGCCCTTTCTCCATCATTAATTTTGTGACTTAGTCCTTTTGTAAGCCAGACACTTACTGAAATTGTTCTTCTCCTAATTTTTTCTCCTCTGACTTTCTGGTTGTCATCTTTGTAAATTCTGGATTAATAAGCAAAGTATTACACAAGTATAAGGTTTCCAGCATCATCAATACATATTTCACTCTAAACATTGAGACCTGCATATACAGAAAAGAATTTTGCAGATTTTATTTGGTACAAGAAATTGCTACCATAATTTAGTCCTATTGCCACAACTGAAATTAAACTCATGTTATGTATAATTTTAGCTGGGAGCTGTTGCACTAATTTTCCACAATGCAACATTCACAACGGTTTCTACTAAGAAAACTAGATTGGCTAAGTCAGAGGCTGGTAACACATTTGCATTGTCCAAAACATATTAATATATGGAGAGTATGGTTAAAATAAATCATGATGGCAGCCACAACTGCCTGCCTGGTTTTTATCTGCATGGCTATTTTTATTTTCATAAAAATATCCTATGATACATGTGCTTAAACACCTCCAGACTTGTAGGATCCCTCATGTCGGATATATGCAGCAGGATTACATGAAGGAAAAGTTGCATTAATGTTTTATTAGCACAAGTTTGCACTGAAAATTAGGTTAGGGGACATTGTACATAAAAACTTTACAAAGTAGGAAAAGAGACTAATTTAAAAACAACATGATTTTTAAAATTATGACAAACCAAAATACTATTTTACTAAATGGGAAAGTAAAACTATCCATTTTAAAATTGATTCACACATTAATATTTCAGTAGGATTCCCACATAAGCTATGCAAAATACTAGAAGATTAAAAAGAATTATACTCACAGTTATAATTAGGTTGAATAGTTTTTGCAGCTTCAAGGCTGGCTATTGTGATTTGAAAGATGATGTGCACAAGCAGAAATGTTAAACTCATGAAACACAAGGATTTTAATAACCGCCCTGTATGCCCTGAAAGAGATAAAACACAATTCAAAATAATTTAACATGATAAAAGGCCTGGTGTAGACAAGATAGCAACTAACTGTATTATGTGCGAGATTCTCTTGCTTATGGTTTTGTTTTTAATCTACATTTACTATTTTAATTGTTTTGAATTGTTTTGTAATATGTTTTATTTCTAGATGTTATTATATACTACCCAGAATCAATTTGTTTGAAATGGGCAACCATATTACTGTAATTGGACAAATAGATTTGACAAATAAATAAATTGAATTAAAAAGCACACAATAAAACCATAGATATTACAATACATTATATCACAATGTATTGTGCCAATCTTCATGAAAAACAAATTTAGAGATAAAGGAGGGGAAGTTCACAACCCATGTCAACTTCCAAATAAAAATATATTATAAAAATATAACACAAATTAAAATGATTTAAGAAACTATTTTGCTAACACAAAGCAAATATTAGTTTCTACTTATTGTTCACACTATTCAACATACATTCAAACAATTTATCACTTATCTACATATTTTACTGGAAATCAAGCAAGTATATAAATTAAATATTCAGTAGGACTGGTGATCTCTAGATGACATTGTTCAATAAACTCACATATATCTGAATACTGTAGGTGACATATGGATACATTTTATATATCTATATCTATATATACGTTTTCTTAAGTTTTCACGGGTATCTATATGTATGGTATTCAGCTACAGATGAACACAATACAGAAGCCTGATGATGGCAGATGAGTTTCTGCCGAAACATTGCTACAACTTTAAAAGCACAACTATAATGACGTGGGAAAATACCCGAACAAAGCTGAATACCATACATATACATATACATACATACATACATACATACATTGACAAATATATAAATAAATTTTAAAACAAAGAACTATTTTGACTGCTGCCACAGTGTTATTCATAAATATGCTTCCTGAACAGATTCTAGGAATCTCTGTAGCAACGTCATACACAGGTAGTTCTTACTTAATAACTGCCTCATTTGGTGACCATTTGAACTTAGAATGGTGTAAAAACATCTTTGCAATCTATCCTCACATTAACTACTATTACAGCATCCCAAAGTCATGTGATTGTCACTTGGGTGCTTCTCAGCCAGCCCATATTTACGACTATTGCGGGGCCCTGGTCATGTGATCCCAATTTGCATGCTTCCCAAGTGGATTCTGACAACAGAAGAAGTAAAATTTAAGTCATGGCCACAAGATGTCTTGCTTAACAACCCAGTGATTCATTTAACAAATAAGGAAATGACATAATATGTCCATTGCAGTTACATTATTTGTTTTGCTTAGCAAACATGGAGCTTAGTGACAGAGTTGCTGATCTCTGTGGTTGCTAAGCAAGAACTTTTAAGCTCACAGTAGAAACCCAAACAGACCAGCATGCTAAATAACAAAATAATATGTGCAGCCTAATCGCTACTTTAGAAGGATGAAAATCCATCATGCTATGGAAAGAAATGGTCTAAGTTTGAAACAGCTTACAGCATGAAGTCAAATAAAATATGATTATATAATGTGTGGAAGGAGTATACTGTCTACATGAATTGATATAATGACTTATAAAGTTAGTACCAATGTTTTTTATTTAAATATCAGTCAGCATTATGAATAGGAAATGAAAGGTCAAAGGAGTCTGTTCATCAAAAAAGTAACAAATTTTTACAAGCTGCAGTCCTACACAAACAGAAATGTATATTCACTATTTGATTTATTTTCAAGTTAACTTGAATATGATCAAGATGCAGTTTACCACAGAATTGGGAGATTCACTATGTCAAATAGCTCAGCATCTCCAGCTTAGGTAGCATAAATCAGTTTCAACACAATTTTGTGTGCTAATTTTTAAATTTTGTGAATTAATGAGTTTATAACTGAACACATGAAAAATTGCCATGGAGTTGCCCCTTTCTAAGAGGAAATATAACAAGGGTGGGAAGTAGGATTTAGGAAACAAATGAAATAAATAGGATCCTGACTTGGGTAGATAGAAGTGAGAGCTGTATCGTCACCTGAGACATCTAAAATTGAGGCTGTCTTCACAGTTGGCAAACTGGCATAAAAAAAACCAGCTTCCTCCAACTGAAAATTCTTAGTAACACCACCTGTCATTCTTTGTTCTTTGGGATTAATGCTTCTGGAAGTTCAAGGATGAGCATGTGGTGACTTTGATTTATACTGCCTGGTGTTGAGTAGGATAACGACACCTTAATCAATCAATGGAGCATTCTCTTTGACTATATCAGACTGGCTATACTAATTACTTGAGCATTGCAGTCAGGCAACAGAAGAAGCAGTGACCACTGTTTCTGAGGAGAGAAATATGTGGCTGCACATCAAAGCATTAAAAAGATGATGTTGTAGTTAGGGATATTCCACTTTCTGAGAAACCTTTGAGAAATGCCACAAAACAATTAAAGGGTGTGAATGATCAGTATGGGAGATAGCAGAACCTGTGAGCATGAAAAGTAAACAGGATTTGCAGATTTAATAGATTAATAGAGATCTCAAAGAAGTGTCCCCTGTCAAATATTTTCTGCATCTTCCCAACAGCACCTTATATAAATCACTGAACAATGATTACACTGGAATCAAACTAGAACCAAACCAAGTAAAATGATATAGGCAGGATATAGTATGCAGAAGTGCAGAATATATTTTAAAAATAAAAACACCTATTTTTTCCCATCTAAAAAATTAAAAACCAAAAATTATATCAAAGAGCAGATCCAGAATAAAGAAGAATAGAAAAATACATTTGCTTATTTGGCTCTTCACAGTTCAGAGCCTACTGGAAAGGCCAGAGTGGCACATATAAATTTACAACTACAGAAACTAGTGGGGGATGAAGTACTGTAATTTTGCAAAGATTTTATTGTAAATGCCTTTTGTATGTTAAAACAAACAATGTATTAATTAAAAAAGGATTTGAATGACAATTAATCTGTAGTGCGCTGCTATAATTATTCATTACACTTGACATGCATTTGTAAAATCATATTAAGAAATCATATTTTGGATTATATGTATTAAATACAATGTCTGAAAACTGACATAAAACTTATTTAAATATATTCACTTAATTGCAATCTGAATAATTCTGTTTCATAGATAAAATGATGCCATAGGCAATCAAATGTTATATTAAAAGCTAACAAGGAGGTAGTGCATGGAGGAATGAACAAAACTTGCATTTCAGTTTTAAAAAAAGAGGTTATATATATTTTTGTGCTTGTTTCTGCTGATATAAATAAATTGGCAAAGAAGCATCCACTAATTATATGAAATATTTCATGGGGGCTTTGGAAAATTCTGGCACTGCCATAGCTTTAGCTATTTACATGGATTGGTTCCATTGAGTTTGACTACACTCATTCAAGAATCAGTTCCCCAAAGACAGTTTGCTTTTCAGAAAAGCACAAGAAGCCTCCCATTCAAAAAAGGGGAATGACATATCCTGTCCCCAGGGACTATGAAATTTTAAATAATTGTACAGTCAACAGAATGACACAAACCACAACACTTTCAGCATTTATCCTACCAAAAAAGTCCAAGATTTAGGTAGCATACCACTTAAAATGTAGGCCAGAATAGTTGTAAAGACTATAAGAAAAATAATCTATTACCATGAAGGAAATAATCTGTCAGAGCACGAAATGTAAAACATTCTGATGTATTTCCCAACAACAAAAAATTATTTATTTATCCAGGCTTTTACATGTGGCCATCACACCATTTGGCAGTCCAGAAATATACACCGTATTTCCATTTATTCAGATAAAACCAGGTAAGTATTATTTGAAGCAATTATTTTCTCTTCTAGCCTCTTGGACAGAAACAAAAACTGGCAAAAGTACTATATAATGACGAACTATGCTAGTAATATCTCTGGATATCTTTGGAAATCATTGTCACATATTCATGCCTCAATTTCATGGGGCAAATAAAGACACATTCAGAATTTGCTTAACAATCACTTGCTATATTATCGTAATGTTAAGAAGTTTCAATTTTGATTTAATAGATTTAGTTTTCGATATAAACTTTGTCAGAAATAAATGTATTAAAAATACTGATGTCATATTTGTGTACTACATGCTACACAGCCAAGCAATTTTTATGTGTGTGTGGGTAAGGAAAGCCCTTTGGTTATTTCAGAATACCAAGTGAACAAGTCATATCCAATTAATTACTTTCTACAATATGGTCTTTATAGTCACAGCTTGTGTGTCAGAAAATTGCAGTATTTATAGCAGTTTGTTTGCTAGAAGCAAAGTTTCCATTTTTCTCATAAGTATGTAAAAATGCTTCAACGAACCTCTCCTTCACTAGGCAACTGCATAGAATAACTGTGCAACCTGACTAGCTTTGGTGATGCTTTCAACTTGAGATTGAATTTTTATTTCATGGTTAGATAACATACACATAATTATCAACATTTTGAACCACCAAATATTTACTTAAGTAATTCTATGCTATTTGTTAGATTACGTATACAGTACAGTTTAAGATACAATCTCTTGAAAGAATAAAAATTTGGACAAATAATACATTTAAATAAATAAATAATGTTTTATTTACACAACTGTGCCTAAAACCTATACACATTTACACAGAAATAAATCTCTTACTACATTCACTGAGGTGGAATTGAAATAATTCAAACAATATTTTTTAAGAGAAAAATATTCCTTCTGTTCCTTGAAAGCAAGAAGACATTCCGTATTCTTATTGATTTCATTTTAATACAACCTTTATACAATCCCCTGAAACTGGCAGTTATGGGGAAATTTAAAGTATAGGGCAACAGCACACAAAACAAATAAAAGAAGCTAACTGTTTGAATTCCCCCAAGAAACTGATGGAATTTTTTTGTCTCCCAGGATAACTTTAGCAATACAGTCTTTTTTCTCACTTCCATCCCAGTTCTTGGCATAACAAGATGGAAGGAGGATGG